CCCAGGCGCCTCCCGCCCGCGGCGCCCCCGCTCGGGGGGGCCGGGGAAGCGGCGCCACCTGGTGGCCAGTGCGGAGACTGCTGGGAAGGCCCTGGGGGCGGTGGCAGGGCTGGGGCTGGGGGCGTCAGGACTAGGGGATCCGCTACGACTCCTCGTGGAAGTGACGGCATGGCCTTCGTGTGCGTGCAAGGTTAGCCCCCCACGTGGTCCTGGAGGGGCCTGGCGAGGGGTGGGCGGTGGGCACCCATGGGCAGGGACGGCCCCCCAGCCCGCAGCTGGGCCGCGTCCCCCAGGGCCCTCTGCAGAACCGCCTGCAGCGGCTCTCGCTTGCCCGGCCGCCGGCCGGCTGAGAAGTAGATGAGCGGCTTGGAGCTGGCGTGGACGCAGGCCAGGAGGGTGGCCAGTGGGGGGAACACGGGCAGCAGCTGGTCGAAGAGGGGCCGCAGACTCCAGTAGAGGATGAAGGGCAGGCCGCAGAAGTAGAGCAGGAGCACGGGGCCCAGGACGGCACCGTAGAATCTGGGGCGCGGCCGCTGGGAGCAGCACCCCACCCACAGGAAGAGCAGCAGCCCGGCCCCGCAGGCCCCGCAGGCCAGGCACAGCAGCCACGCGACGCTGGCCGCGTGGTACCGCAGACAGGTCAGCAGGCGCGAGGCGGCGTACAGCAGGCTGCAGGTGTGGGCGGGCAGCAGCACGGCCGGCGGGGTCAGCACCCACAGCAGCCCGCAGACGACGCCCGACGCCCACCGGGGCCGGCAGCTCCAGTAGCAGGCGGGGAAGACCTCGGACAGGCAGCGCTCCAGGCTGAGGGCCGCCAGCAGCCAGAGCCCCGCGGCAAACCCGACGAAAGTGACGGCGAAGTGGAGGGTGTCCCGGGAGCCCAGGGCGGCCTGGACCGTGGAGAAGGCCACGTGGCAGCAGAGGAACAGGAAGTCGGCGGCGGCCAGGTGCAGCACGTAGACAGAGAAGGGTCCCCTCTGGATGCGGAAGCCCAGGTGCCACAGGACGAGCCCGTTCCCCAGCAGCCCCCCGAGGCTGACGGCCAGCCCGAGGTAGAAAGCCACGCTGGCGAACATGCTGCTGTCTAGGTGCTGACGGGAGGGACTCTGGGACTCTGGGACTCTGGAAGGAAGCGACAGGCGTCACGGCTGTTGTTCGTCATTTGTTCACTGCCACGGTGGGGGTGGGGGGCAGGGGTGTCGCCCCAGTTTGCAGGGTGTCCTCCCGGTGTGGCCGGCAGACATGGCTCTAGCTCGGGGCCACGCTTCCGGTGAATTCCTAGCCAGAGCTCTGGCCTCGCCGGCCTCTTTGTAAGGGGAGGGTTCCCCAAGACGCCTGACACACGGCGACACTGACCGGTGGCCCAGGGGGTGGGCGCCGCCCCAGCTGCATGGCCAGGCTGAGCGGCGAAGACCCACAGGGCCCCACACGCACGGTGAGCCGTGGTGTCGTGGAGGTCGCCGAGGGGCCGGACAGCCGTGTGCAGGCAAAAGGGACCCATGTGTGGACCTGCTCCCCCTCCCTCAGGGACCGAACCCCGGAGGGTCAGGACTGACTCCTGCTAAGCACCCCACGCCCACGGGTCCGCTGGGCGGTGTCCAGCAATGGTCGTGGGAGGAGGGAGGTCCTCCTCCCTGGCGTGGGCAGTGGGCAGCTGCGGGGCGGAACAGGGAGACCCAGGCCGCCCCTGCTCCCGGCCTCGGCAGCGGTTAAACCCCAGGGATGCCCACGGCGATAGCGCTGCTCTGAGGCCTCAAAGCAGGCACGGGGACATCGGGGACAGGTCCCACGGGGGGAAGCTAACACAAGTGTTTGCTGCCGGCAGCTTTGGAGGAGGGAGGGGCCAAGAGTTCTGCTCCAGTCCGGGCCTTGCTGGTGGCTGGTGTTCCAGAGCTGGTGGCCTTGCTCTGGGATGTTCTCCCAGAGGAGACAGGACTGGTCGCAGGGAAGTCTGGCTGTGGCAGCAGAGGGTCCCGGAGCAGGCTGGCCTTTCCTGTGTCCCCTCCTCCACCCAGGATCCATGCAGTCCTGTCCTCAGCTGGGGAGATGCAGCTGAGGGGCCGTCAGGACGTGGAGCTGAGGAGGGGGGGACCCCACCTGACACACGCCTGGCGCTCCCATCCTCCCTCGCTGGTCTGCGCCCCGCAGAGCACCCTCGCCCCCACCGCACCGACCTGGGCCCCGCCTCCTGCAGCGGCTCCGAGCCCCCCACCTGGCAGGCGCCCCAATCATCCCTGCCCACCCCTCTCTATCTCCGTGGTTGCCCCGTGCGGGCCCGTCATTCGCCCCCCGGGCCTTGCCCTATGCCTGGCACACAGGGTCCTCTCCTCCACGCCCGCCGAGCCAGGCTGGCCTCTGGTGTCACCGGGGGCTGCACTGACCCTCCCCACCTGGGCCTGTGCTCCCCCGATGGCTGGCGAGGGAGCTGAGCAGCCCGGGCTGTCCTGGCTCTTGCTCAGACTTCAGGGGTGGGGGGAGGTCTGTGGGGGGTAGGGCTCCGCTCCTGGAAGGAGGTGGGGGAGCGGTGGGCAGTGGGACACTCAGAAAGGACCCACCTGTCCCATCGCTTGGAGGAGGACCCGGATCCTGGGTTTAAAAACTGCCCCTCGGTCTGCTTCCCACCGCATGCCCCGTCCCTGCCCCTTGACGTCCCTCCCCATGGAAGCCAGATAGTCCTCAGGGGTGTCCAGACGTGGGCCTGGGGGAGCGGATGGGGCGGGCGGGGGGCTCCGAACCTCCTCACCTGCTGACGAATGGCTGGGCGCTTCTCCCAGACCTGCTGCTCAGCTGCGCTCAGCACTGCTCTGCTCTCGGGGTAGGAGAGTCCTCAGGAAGTGGGAGGGGTGTGCCGGTCACAGCAGTGAGCTCAGCGAAGCCCTGGGTGTGGCCGGCCCTCCCCGGCCCATCCCCCTGGACTGCAGCCTTGGGCAGCAAGTGTCCCCCACTTGCTGCATGGACGGGAGGGAGCAGCGGACCGGGTCCCCCATGTCCAGGGGCCCCATGTCCTGGTGGTGCCACGGTGGTGGCAGCTGCCCCCGGTCCTTTGATGTGTGGTGCAGGTGCGTGCGAGGCAGAGGCAGGCCCGTGGGCACGGCCTGACCCTTTCCGGCCGTGTGGCCTTGAGAGAGTGACCTGACCCCTCTGTGCCTCAGTTTCCCCCTCTCCTTCGACTGACCTCTCGTGGACAGCTCGGTGCCTGCCTTGGGGCTGGACCTCATGATGGGTCATCGGTGGGTGCCGCTGTGGGTGGTCTGAGGGGTCGAGACCCCCCCTCCTCCCTTTGCCACCTGCTTCACACTTGGGGTCCAGTGTCGACGCATTCTTTGGAGTTAAAATACTTTTGCATGTTCCTCAGAGCCATGTACCTCAAGGTGTTCCCAGTTAGGTACCCCTTTTGGGGGTGCTGTCCTGGGCATCCTGGGGGCCCCCAGAGCTCGTCTGCACCACTAGGGAGGAACCGTACCCCGAAGATGCTGCTCGTCCTTGTGTCTCAGAGGATTTGGCTTCGGAGTCCTTTCACACAGCGACCGCCATGGAGGACCCTCAGCACAGCCCAAGGGGCCGGGCCAAGGCCCCACACTGTCCTTCCGAACCGGACAGTCGCAGTCCTCCCGGCCCCAGGCTGGTTCCTCCTGCAAGGCCCGGCCCCGCCCTGCCCACTCCCCCTGCAACTGCCCTGGGACCTCCACTCAGTGTCCTCGGGGGTGGCCTCCCCTCTTCAGGGGTCACCCAGCCTGCCCTGCTCTCCGCCTCACCACCCCTCTCCCGGCACCCGCCCCGCGCCCCCTGCAGCCCCGCGTCTGCGCCCCGCCGTCAGCGGGCCGTGCACACTCAACGCTCTCCGCGTACCTGCGAGAGAGGCGTCCCCTCCCGGGGTGTCAGCTAGACCGCGGCGGCGAAACCGGTGTGATGCCCGTCGTGGGCTGATGAAGACCCGGGGGGCACGTCCCCACGAGCATGGCATTCCTAAGAGGAAGGGCCTTTGTGGAAGGAAGTGAGGGTTCTGAGAGGGGGTCGTCCTGGAATTCCCCGGGGGCCCTAACGGCCATGATGGGGGTCCCGGTAAGAGAAAGGAGAGGACAGGCTCCCCAAGGAGTCCGGTGACCACGGAGGCAGTGGCCGGAGGGGTGCGGCCACAGCCCCAGGGGTGCCTGGAGCCGCGGGAGCTGGAAGAGGCAGGAGGCATCCCGAGGGAGCCAGCCCTGCGGCCCCTCCCTTTCTGCCTCTGCCCTCCGGAACCAGGAGGGGTGAACGTCTGCGTCCTAAGCCACCCCGGCTGTGGTCGTTGTCACGGCCGCCCCAGGGCACAGGTACCGTGGCGTCATATGCGGGCGTGTTCCGACTGCCTCTATGGAGCACCTCATTCACCCTGAGCCGGCCATCCGGTCATCTCTGCTGGCCGACGGGGAAACCGAGGCACAGAAAACGTGCATCGCTGTGCGAGGCCGTGCAGACCTCGGTGGCTGCTGAGGGGTCGAGCCAGGCCGTCTGTGCTTCGGGGTGTCCTTGCACCCTCGGAAGCCCGGGTTGGGACCCTGGCCTTGAGCTGTCATCCAAAACACCCCGTGTCGTCTGTGTAGATGCACCCTTCCTGAGCTTGTCCCATAGCTGGGCGGTCCAAGCTGCCGGCAAAGCTGGGTGACCAGGTCCCAACTTGTCACAGGGTGGCTCCACCGTAGGAAGTGGCTGGTGTCCCGCCACTACTGACCCACAAAATGGGCATTTCCGCCAGTTCCGCCCCAAGCCAGCCCCGTGGCCTCAGCAGGTCAGCGTGCTGCTCTGTCCCCCGACGTCCGAGTCTGCGGATGTGGGCGACGGCTCTGTCGCACCTCGGACCCAGGGAGGAGCACACATCAGGAGGAACTGAGGAAAATGGGTGGGTTCAGGGGTCTCCTCACGAACCCCGTCTGTTCACATAGTCCTCTCGGGGCCTCGGATCAAAATCCACCTGACTCCGAGACCCCGAGGAAGATGAGAGGTCGCCCCGGGCCCCGGGGCAGATGGGGAGTGGGGACAGGGGTCGGGGGGAGGGTGTCCCTGCTCCCGCCGTCCCAGCTGCTGGCCCGTCTGCAGAAGGCTTGTGGGTGGGGGGACGTCTTCACGTTCGAGGTATTGTTATCAGGGATGCCGAGGTGACACTTTGGGACCACTGCCCCTGAGCAGAGAGAGTGCCACTCGCAGCTGTCCCCAGGACGAGAGGCGGGCGGAGCCTTTTTCTGGTTTCCCCAGGAAGGAGCGGGCGGGGGTGGGGGGGCATGGACAGTGTGAACAGTTTCAGAGGCTCTGAGAGGTTGGGGCTGTCCCCGTTTGGGCAGGGGACAG